CCTGCTCGCAGGTGGAGGGATACGTCCGCCTTGCTCGGGAGGCGCTGTCAGTCTGCTTCGACGATGGTACCGCGGAGACGGCTAGGTGAGGCGATGGCGTCATGATTTTAGCGTACCTCTCCTTGTCCTTGGTGTTAGGCGGCTTGTTTTCGCAACGCAGTCTCGTGCACCCCTCCTTGTCCCGTTGTTGGGGCGTGTGTGTACATGACGTAGCCGCCGCCTTATCCTGCATCTCTCCTGATCCTTGTTGTGGGTGCTTGTTTTCGCAACGAATTCATTGATTCGCCTTCTCCTGTGTCTCTCCTGACTCTCACAGGGCATTCACGGCTATGGCTCTCTTTCAAGACTTCATGGGCAACGAGGTGCGGTCGCACGGGCGACAGGGAGGCGTTTCTGTTTGTGTGGCGCCTTTTCTTTTGTCCCCTCGAGGTCTTCGGTGATTGGAGCAAGCCGTGGCGGTGGTCTCGCGTGTCCGTCCACCTCTTGTGGGATTAGTTGGCCTTCCCGCGTTTGCTGTTGTGCCCTAGTGAAGCGCTAAGAGCCCAATGCTGGCCGTGGCCCGACGAGATTCCGTACGCCTATGTTCGAACCCTGAGTTATCTGCAGCACAAGCAACAGCGACTTCGTCGAAAGTGGCAGCATCAGGAGAACCATCTCGTCGAGAAAAGCTTTCCGGTCATTCGAGTTTAGCACTCTCGCTTCGTACTCTTAAGGGTTATTGCAGCTTTGCACTATCGGTCCAGGGTTTGTTTGTGTTCCTCATACGTCCTTCGGGACCCCCGTCCGCCAAACACCGTCCCGATTTTTTTTTTTGTTTACACGCTGGTGGCGACACTGCGGTGTGGTACGAAACGAAACCTGTCCTCCGCCCGCAGGACAAGTTCATCAAGTACATCGACTTCGCCAAGTCGATCATCAACGCTCTGCCCCAGGAGAAGGTCCCGGCGGACCTCCTGGACACGCACCTGTTCGTCAAGGCCTGCGACATGCTGGAGGGGTACAGCCACCGGGTCGACGAGGAGTACATCAAGGCTGCCAGTGGGACCTTCGAATCCTGCACGATGGCTAAGGTACCGCAGTAGTACTGTAGTAATTGGCGGGACTCTCGAAACCTGCGCGATTTGTCGAAGGCAGAGCAGTTGTAGTGTCAACCGGACTCGAATCCTGCACGATGTCATGTCAAAGGCCCAGCAGCAGTAGTGGCAACCGGACTCTGGAATCCTGCACATGTTTATGTCAAAGGTACAGCTGTAACCCCAAGGATAAGTGTGGTCGCTGTGAAAGGCCGGGTAGTGCCAAGGGGTTTGGCTGGCCTTAATATCGCACACCCACCCGGCACTAGTCAAGAGTATGAGACGCGTTGAATCCTCCGTCTCTCTGTGTGTCACGTGATTTCACCGGCCTTGTCCAGGGCGACCGGTCTTGCAAAGGGACCACCTGCCGTTGCTCATTGCAAACGGCAATCGCCCACGGAAGGCAGCCGTCTTCACCCTATTCCTTCATGGATACCAACATACCGTAGGTGACACAAGGTGCCATACCCCTCGACCAATTGTCGAAGCTCGATCACTCCGCGATGAAAGGATGCCAACCTCAAATGATGCGACACGTTTTCGGAAAGCTAGCTCTCGACGAGGCGGTTCCAGCGCCGCCACTGTCTGAGCCGCCGCTGCCGCTGTTCTGTTTTTCAGTAGTTGAGCTTTGAGAATTGGTCCGCGGGAGTGTGATGTCTTGTGTGATGTCACCTACGGTCAATGGTACCTCCTGCTGTAAATACACCAACGTTATGGGCATTTCACGATTTTCAATACACTAACATGAACAACCTGCGCTAAGGATAACAACGTAAGGAACACTCCGCGTTTCAAGCCACCAACATTATGGGCACTTCCCGCTACCGTTTAGAGCACTGGCGATATTTTCCTCTAGTTACCGTTGCGCTGATATCATGCCTCGGCCCTTGTTGGGGTTCCGTGCGGCTCTTCGCGACGCTATGTTGGGCTAACCCTAACCCTAACCCTAACTCGACATGGGCAGGAGCCGAGGCTCATCCATCAGAAGGACTTGTGCCGCTGGCTGCTCAAGGCCGACATCCGCCTCACAGCCTGTTTCTCGGTGGACATGCTGGACAAGGGGGCGTTCAACGATGGCAGCAGAGGCGTCGGAAGGTACGCCCGTTGGGAAGGGGACAGGTGTCCTCCGGGCGAAGACGGAGGAGGACCCCAAGATGTCGGTGCGACGCGCAACCCGGGTCTTTCCGCGCAACCGCACGTGGTTTACGACGAGGGCAAAGGTGGGTCTTCGCCGATGACGGGCGCGGGCGCCGCTAGTACCCCTACCTGCTTCAGCCTCAGAAGCTTCGATCAGTCCACGGAGCCCCCTCCGCCGGGAGAGATGAGCCTCAAGTTCGCGGCGGAGCTGCTGCCGGAGTGCGACCTGATGGTCCATGCCACACAGACGTGAGTACGATTGTGTTCTCCTGTAGTCCTGACGCGTCAACAGGGTGTATGTGGATGGCCGCTCACAACAGCCCGTGGCCCCACGATAGCAAACGTGGTCCTTGTCTTGTTGCCCTGAGGGGTGAGAGACGTGCTAACCCTAAGTTGCTACTTTGTTGCGCTTGAGTCAACGCTAGCTAGATCAATGCAAAAGCTCAGGCAAGATTTTGGAGGAGGAATGTAAATATATATATATACATACAGTGGGTGGCCCGATATAGTGCCGGTTGAATAGTGCCGGTTGCCGGTATAGTGCCGGTGTTTTCGGCTCGCACACACCGGAATATCAAGTCTTTCTGTACTCTGAATAGTGCCGGTGCCCGGTATAGTGCCGCTTTGCTCTCTGAACACATACCGGCACTATAGAGGGCCCCCTACTGTATTTTTGTTTATATATTTTCGTCCTCAGACTGCGTTTTGCCCAAGTGCTGCTCTCTTCGCAAGTTTTTTAGGGCACACGTCAGTTTTTTTCTCCTTGTTCCTTGCGTGCGATTAGAAGCTACGACATCTCTCACTCCCGAGTGCTCCAAGGCTCGTTTTCAACCCGATACTTGTAGCGCCTCCAATCTACTTGTGTAAGATAAACGAACACGAAATTCGGCCCAACTTTCGAACAAACACGCCTCCGTGACGCATCGTGTTTCCCGGGGAGAAAAGGCCCGAGGTGAAGGGTGGGGTTGGCGAGCTGTACTTCCACAGCATCATGGCCTACGCCAACGTGCTGCAGGGGCGGCAATCGTGGGCTCTGGATGGCCTGTGGCGCTGCGCCGACATATTCTTGACTAGCCCCGGGATTTGCCGCCTGACTGCGTGGTGAGTGGAGTACTCGGAGAGAAGAGGAGGGGGTGGTAGATGCGGGGTAGTGATTAGGAGCGTCTGCAGCAGTGATTTGGGGACCTTGCTTCTCTACCAGACGCACTATCGAAGGGCTTGTCTCTGTTTAGTTTTGGTCGTGTGTTGACGATGTTCCAAAAGTCGATCGACTCTTTTGGCCAAGAAACAAGTGTTTCGACCAATGGGTTTTGGTTTTCATGAAGGTGAGAAGAACGCACTGGTTTTCGATAACTCTTCATTCAAAGCCAGTATTTCAAGAGGCTTTTTTTAAGTCTTGGGACAAAATCAGAAAATTAGAGCTCGATTCTTGCCCTTCGTTTTGATACTGGGTGGGCTTGACGCTGCCGAAGAACAACACGCGCCGCCCGTCGTCTGCCGTCGGTGACATGACGTAAGATATCACACCCCCTGACTGACCGACTTAACAGGTCCGTTACCTCACGCTGAGCTGGAAGTGTGGGTCAAACGACACGTTTTATGAAACATGTTGACGAGACGGTTCCGGCGCTGTCGTTGGCGGCACCGCTACTTCTACTGCTGTCGTGCGGTAGTCGAGCTTTGAAGTACGGGGGAGGGTGGTATATTACGTACACCGCGCTGCCCTAACATCTCCCCTGGCAAGAATCGTACCCATAAAACTCCACCCTTCTGCTTGAACTCGGCTCCAACTGTGGTATTAATAGTTGTATCATGGCCCATCCCCCCCCCCAACAAAGCTCCGTCCTGTCGTGGACGCGTGGTCAATGGTGAAAGGCATGCAACACCCCCCCCCCCCCCCCCCCCCCCCCCCCCCCCCCCCC